TAACTAGCACAGCCTTCTGGGAGTGCATCATTGATTCAGTGCAAGCCACCTGTGGACCCTTATTGGTGCACAGCATCTCAAGAGCAGCCGGGCTTGCTTCAACCGATGGTTACGAACATCCAGACATTAATCAGCAAGGGGCATTTCTCATACTAGTTAGACAAAATCTACGTCAACACGTAAGACACAATTATAATTCGTGTTGTAGAGAATGTATCTCCTCTACGTGTAACTTTTGAGTGGTATGCCTTGTAACTGATGAATGATCCGAGTGTGCTCCCTATTTCAAAGACAATGAGTTGCTCCAGAGGCAGACGCTTCCTGAAAACACAAAAATACCTTTTGACCTATATCAGAAAAACAACGGGTCTCACCAGAGTTATCTTTACAGGTTATTCCAAAACACACTCTTTGTCCGAACATCACTTATTCAATGTTTGACCCTTATAGACAAAATGTTACATGTACGCACACAATCATACAAGTATTCATTCTAAATTATGGAGTCAGTTTAACAAAATTGAATTACTGCACTGAAATATACTGCAACAGGTTACATCGTATTAATAAGCTATTTAAAAAAAAATATGCACCGTCTGCTTAACAGTGTACGTACAACATACCATTGCGCCAATCAAAACAAGTAGGCCATTGCATGCTGGCGTCTGGGTCAAAATTGAGCAAATTCCAAACAGGCTATTTTCCACATGCAGGCCGGTGCAGAGCCACCACCTTGTGCCGCACAGGGGCAGCTGCTACTTGGGGATGCTCTTCGAGTGTTTGAGACGAGATACGATACAAAACTCCGAATTGCCGGGGCGATAGAGCACCATAAAAATGGAATTATTAGAACAAAGTGAATGCTTGGGAGCTTATTGGGTCTCGCTCCTGGTTAGAGATCTACCCAACCCACAGGTCCATAAAGACTGGCCGCTCGTACCCTGCAAGGTGAACCTAGGAATTGAGTGTTCAACTTATTTCTTGTCATTAAAGGTCTGTGACAAAAGGTGCATCTATTGGAGCAACATCGTCTCAAGCTTACATATCTACCGGGTCTCCATTTGACTTGACATTGTATTGTCGGATGAAGTCCACCCACACCTCCACCTCCACAAACTGCTGGGAGTTGCCTCGCTCTGCCTCACAGTCAGAATTCTCCTCCTGCTTCACGTTGCCTCCATCGATGTGAAGGTCCGATTTTGGAATTGAATCTTCATCTTCACATTTTACCTTCACTCCTTCACTCTCACCATCACTCCTTCACTCTTCACCATCACTCTTCACTCTTCACCATCACTTCTTCACATTTCACCTCGATACCTTTAAAAGTGTCCAAGCTGGGATTTTCTTCCGGTTCTTGTTTGATGAGGGATGGGCTCATTGCGGCACTTTGACTTTCACAAGCTGATTTCAGACTCCAGTCCTTGTGGATCTTCTGATGCTTGTGTGTTCTCTGGTGTTTTTCAAGAGCAGATGACTGTGCAAACGCCTTCCCACACACAATGCACTTGAAGGGTTTCTCTCCCGTGTGTGTTCTCTGGTGTATTACAAGAGCAGATGAATGTGCAAACGCCTTCCCACAAACATTGCACTTGAAGGGTTTCTCTCCCGTGTGTGTTCTCTGGTGTGCTACAAGAGTAGATAAACGTGCAAACGCCTTCCCACACAAACTACACCTGAAGGGTTTCTCTCCCGTGTGTGTTCTCTGGTGTTTTACAAGAGTATACGAATCTGAAAACGCGTTCCCGCACACAGTGCACTTGAAGGGTTTCTCTCCTGTGTGAGTTCTCTGGTGCCTTGTCAAATGTCCAGGACGATCCGTGCTGTATGCACACCGGTCGCATTGTTGCCTTTTGGCACCGAGCTGCGCCGACTGCCTTTGCTCCATCAGACAAATTCGACAGAGGAAGCGACAGCTGCAGACAGAAAAAAGTTACATCCACGTCAGTATCGATGCACAGAGGAATGCATATTTACACAGTAACACATGACTTATAAGTCGACACTTATTGATATATTCATGATGTAGTGAAAAAGTTTACCAAATTCATCACATGGGCTGTTCTGGCACACAATAAGAAGGGCGAATGGTCATAAACATGCCTGGAAGCCCTCGTATCTTCAAAATGAATGTTAACCCAAAACTCCGAGCACACAATTTTGGCTGTCTAGCTACAAAAGGAATATTTATGAAAGCTAAATTTAGCTGACAAAGCAAAGGGTGTTGAAAATAATACTATTTGTGTTAGCAAAAATGCATGAATTAATGTTCAATCGCAACTTAGAGGTGTGAAGCCAGCCAGGCTCACGATGTCCTTGCACGCTGGAATGAACAGATCTGACTTCAGCTGCATGTGTGTGCTGTGTTAACTTCTTGACTGTTTCCATTCTTATAAAGTTCCAAAGGAAAACAAAACAAACTATTGTTGTCATATAACCTTCGTGTTCAATAGAGTTAATAGACTTAACTGCCAACACAAACTTTACACTGTAACACACTGGCATGGTTAACAGGTGGTGGTGTGTCCAGACCCATGCCTGGCCACCTTCATCCGCTCACTGTTAATGCTTCCTTACTCATCCAAGTAATTCAATGAGGATTAATCAACACCCCCGAGGTTGCGTGTCTCTCTCGCTCCCCGTGGTGAGATGTTAACTACCTCTCCTGGCATACAGGAAGTCGTGGGTTCATCCCAACCCTGATGCCTGCTGTATATTTTTAGTTTGCGTGTCTTTCTCTCTTCCTGTGGTCGCGTGGATTTATCTCCGGATCTCCCGGTTGTCCCCACTCCACATGCAGAGAGTGGAACACCGCCACGCGTCCAGAGTGAACACACACCACGCGTCAAGAGTGAAACACCGCCACGCGTCTAGAGTGAACACCGCCACGCGTACAGAGTGAACACCGCCACGCGTCCAGAGTGAACACCGCCACGCGTCCAGAGTGAACACCGCCACGCGTCCAGAGTGAACACCGCCACGCGTCCAGAGTGAACATCGCTACGCGTCCAGATGTGAACACCGCCACGTGTCTAGAGTGAACACCGCCACGCCTCTAGAGTGAACACCACCACGTGTCTAGAGTGAACACCACCACGCGTCCAGAGTGAACATCGCTACGCGTCCAGAGTGAACACCGCTACGCGTCCAGAGTGAACACCGCCACGCTGTTGACAATCCCCACCTTGTTGTTATTGTTGTTGTGGGCAGGTCGCTTCTCAAAATAAGAGCGGTATAGCAGCTCAAGCGGGCGTGGCCTTGTAACAATGAAAAAAAAAAACGTGAATATTAAAATAAAACAAAGTTACAAAGTAGCGAGCCAGGTGAGGAGAAATTAAAACTTAAGCAAGATACTCTTTGGTTCTTTCGGTAAAGTCACGTAAATAAATAAATAAATTTTAGTTTCAGTTTCATTTATTTGGTATAGCCCTGTGAGCCATTCGGCTCTTGAATCGGATGCAACCGCAACAAACAAAAAACAAAACCATGAACGAGAAAACATCTTAAAGTGACTATGTGACTGTGCAAACATAAAATCCAGGAAAAAAACATCAAAATATTCCACAAAAAGCACCGTACACCACGCTGTGTGCAAATAGCATACGACGTTTCGATTGCAACACGAGTAATCATCATCAGGTACAAATGAAAAAGAAAACAAACCTAGTAAACTTAGAAATGTAATGCAATACAACACAGAGAGTCGGCTAACATAACAGTCAACACCCCACCTGGTTGATAACGTTCTTCCAAGATTGCTCAATTTGAGAGAAGAGACAAAACACAGGACACGGAGACACATTGACAGAGAGATGACACAGAGACATAGAGAGAGAGACACACACATAGGCACACATAGAGATGACACACATAGGCACACAGAGAACACCGCCTGTGTCGAGGCCTTAGAGAGAGGGGGGGCAGAGAGAGGGGGAGGTAGAGAGGGGGGGTAGAGAGAGAGGGGGGGGTGGGGGGTAGAGAAATTAGCATGTCAAGGCAAGCCGTAGCCATGGAGTCAACATTGGGGGGGAACCAAATCTTCCAGGGTCTGGGGGTCCCCCCCCCCCCCAGAAAAATATCTAAATTTGGAAAACTCATTTCCTGCCATTTCCTCCCTAAAATATTTTAAAAAGTTCACTAACACATGGGATGGAATTATTTTATTTTATACAATAATGTCTAATAGTGTATTGTATTACATTGCTATATTTTTTTCTTTTTTACATTTTCTTGTTTCATAGTGTGTAATGGCAGAGATTAGGGATTCATAAAGTACAACGCAATCATATAAACAGAAATCTATGCATTGTTATATGAAGACAAGTCCAGATTTTGTGGCCGTGGTTTTGCAAATTGTTTTTATTAACATAGCATCGCAATTATTAGTAAAAAAAATATTTTTATAGCAATATATTGGGGGGGACATTTTGAGCAAATTTAATTATTATAACATATTATAATTATAACATATCATTATTATAACATATTATAATTATTATAACATATTATTATAATTATTACAACATATTATAATTATTATAACATATTATAATTAGGGCCTTGTGTCAATGAGAGATTTGGAGGCTTGGTGACTGCACTTAATCAAACAAACTTCGTAACATTTGAAATGTATTGCAATGCAACACAGAAAGTCGGTCAACACACAATGAACGCATAGACTGGCTGATTGCGTTCTTCCACAGATTGCTAAACTAAGCGAGAGAATTGAAGCAAACGCGATCAGGCGAGGGCAGGAGGCAAGGCCCCGCGTTGTAAAAGTTCCAACCTGGACATCGTTTCCATGCTCGCTGCTACTCAATTGACATCCCAACGAGAGAGAGAGCGAGGCTCTACCTCGGTAAACAACAACAACCACAACACAACCACCACCGCAACCACCACCACCGCAACCACCACCACCGCAACAACCACACCACAACCACACCACAACCACCACCGCAACCGCCACCACCGCAACCGCCACCACCGCAACCGCCACCACCGCAACCACCACCGCAACCACCACCACCGCAACCACCACCACCACGGCCGCAACCACCACCACCGCAACCACCACCACCACGCCGCAACAACCACCACAACCACCACCGCAACCCACCACCACAACCACCACCACAACCACCCGCAACCACCACCACAACCACCACCACCACCACCGCCGCAACCACCACCACAACAACCACCACCACAACCACCGCAACCACCACCGCAACCACCACCACCACAACCACCACCGCAACCACCACCACAACCACCACCACAACCACCGCAACCACCACCACAACCACCACCACCACCACCGCCGCAACCACCACCACAACAACCACCACAACCACCGCAACCACACCGCAACCAACCACCGCAACCACCACCGCAACCACCACCACCGTAACCACCACCACCGCAACCACCACCACCGCAACAACCACCACAATCACCGCAACCACCACCGCAACCACCACCACCGCAACCACCACCACCAACGCCGCAACCACCACCACAACTACCACCACAATCACCACCACAACCACCACCACAACAACCACCACCACAACAACCACCACCACAACAACCACCGCCGCAACCACCACCACAACAACAACCACAACAACCACCACAACCACCACCACAACAACCACCACCACAACAACCACCACCGCAACCACCACCACAACAACAACCACCACCACAACCACCACCACAACAACCACCACAACCACCACCACAACAACCACAACAACCACCACAACAACCACCACCACCACAACAACCACCACCACCGCCGCAACCACCACCACAACAACAACCACCACCACAACAACAACCACAACAACAACAACCACCACCACCGCAACCACCACCACAACAACCACAACAACCACCACCACAACAGCGATGAGAATTTCTCACCTCGGATTTCAGTTCACGGGCGGAGCGGCAACTTCCTGGTCCCTCGCGACGTCACGCGGCAGCAGGTGACATGACGTCACTTGCGGGGTACGATGACACTCCCTTCCCCAATGAGCGGCTCTCAACTCGCGACGGCTTTCACGACACATTATGTTAATGAGCCGCCAGTCACCGGGCGTGGCTTTGCCCAAATAAGGATTGGCACTGGGACAGATATCGGCAGCGGCCGAGCAGAAATGACGTCACGCTCAAGAGCGCGGTGGTCGGGGGTGGGTGACATGACGTCACTAGCGAGGCACACCGCCCCCTGGCGTTTGACGCCGCTGAGGTCATGCTGAGCGGTGACGTCAGAGGGCGGGGTCAGAGTTCAAGTTTGTTGACAAGGAGAGCGGCAGTGACGTGGTGAGCGCTGCGCTCCGCACCGACCAGCCGAGTTCTGTTCCCGCTCGTGGCCAACACCGCCAGTGACGACTTTGTGAACCGGTCCTGAGCCTCCCCTAGGTCGACTCAGCCTCAAACGAGTACCCGGTGCGGTGTGTCAACATCGCCACTATGGAGACAAAGGCGGCCGGGCGTGGTGCTGGCCACCCACCCCCTCGTGTGCCGTCCCACCCTTAATAGGTGCTCGCGAACAGCACTTGCCCCTACAGTCTGTTAAGGCTATACGGGGGATCTTTGTGTGTTGGGAGCAAGTTTGAGTGGCGTGAAGCCGTGGGAGTTGAACGGGCGCCTGCTGCTACTGACAGTCGTTTACTCCGGTTGGACAGACGCTGATAGACAGACACACACAGACAGGCAGGACAGGCAGACAGACACAGAAAAGAGGAACACAGAGACAGAGAGACAGGCAGAGAGAGACACAGAGGCGAACAGACACAGACTGACAGAGAGATGTTGAATCGAACACACTGAACTCGCTCCATTGAAAGAGTTTCCTCGATCTTTGCCCATCCCCGGAAGTCGTTCTAGTTTCTATTTATTTCATTGTGTGTGGTGTGAACGTGTAAGCAATGTGGGATATCGATGAACACGGACATGAACAAGATCAGCAGACAAGACGTCTTTCATACTCTTTGGTTCTTTCAATAAAGTCACGTAGGTACAAAAATAATAATAATTAATAAATCACGACGTTTCGATCGCAACACGAGCGGTCGTCCTCAGGCGAAAACATCCAGACATGAGGACTGCCTAGATGAAAACCAGCATGGAAGGGGCCCAGTGTGGGGCCGGCTATGCTAATGGCATAGTCCCGTGTGTGTGTGTGTGATGTGAGGTCTCCTGGCAGCAGTCATTCTCCGCTGTAGTCCTGGCATTTGCTGCTCAGCTTCATTCCCCAGCTGTGGTCCCAGTGGCACCGTCTCTCTGGGGAACCGTGTGGTGTTTGTAGCGAGTATCACGGGGTGGGTGGGTAGTGTGGTGATAGTGGTCACAGTTGGTACCGATGCACGACCACCGCCACCACCCCTACTGGGCAGTGGACCTGCCACCACAAAGCAGCACGCGGCGGAGGAGTGAGGCGATCGCTGTCGCCACGCGAGCGAGGCCCCCTCGCTTCCTCTTCTTTTCGTGCATCTCCACCTGCACCTCTTCCGTTTTCTCCTCTGTCTCATCCTCCTCCATCCCCTCTTCTTCATCCTCCACCACCATTTTCTCCTCTACCTCCTCTTCCTGCGCCACCTCCATCTTCTCCATCTTCTTCTCCGCTAGCACCATCTTTTCCTCCTTCATCTCCTCCTCAACTTCCGGCACCACCATCTCCACCACCGTCTTCTCTTCCTCCTCCACCACCATTGTTTCCCCTTTGTCCGTCGTCTCCATGTCCTCCACCACGACCATCTGTTCATCTTTCGATTTAAAGCTTTCGTGACTGCAGGGATTCATCTTCTTGGTTCTTTCGGTAAAGTCACGTAGAAGGGAAGTAATAAAATAATAAAAATAAAACATAATAAAACAATTGTTTTATTATGTTTTATTTTTATTATTTTATTACTTCCCTTCTACGTGACTTTACCGAAAGAACCAAGAAGGAGACATCTGTTCATCATTTGTTGTCTCCTTGTCCTCCATCTCCGTATTGTCTTTCTCCTCTGCCTCCGTGTTCTCCTCCATTGTCACCATCACAATCTCGTCCTCCTTTGCCTTCTCTTCCTCCGATTTCTCCTCCTCCTCTGTCTCTACCTCATCCTCCATCATCTCCTCTTTCACCTCTTCCTTCGTCTCCTTCTCCACATCCTCTGTCTTCACTTCAAAGGCCTGGACGAGTGAGGAGGAGGGCTGCGCTGGCACAGATCTGTGAAGAGACAACACGACACCGTTCCACCTTGCTGCTACGGCAGACATCGCCATCTTCCCATCGTCCGTGAGTGGAATGTGTGGCGGATTAATTCGAGATTCATATAAACATCAATAACGACATAGCCAGTGAGTGTGCTTAGTATTCGTGCTGTCATTCTCATGGCGCCAGGCTAAGCTTGAGATAGGTGCAGCTGTGTCTCACACAGACTGCTGTAGTTTCACAGTAGTGGGTGGCGTTGCTGTGCAAATTTAGCTGAATAATTTGAAGTGACATTTTTTTGGTTCTTTCGGTAAAGTCACGTAGGTATAAAATATAATAAATAAAATCACAACGTTTCGATTGCAACACAAGCAATCATCATCAGGTGGGAAAGCCACAGCAAGAAACGTTCTTGAAATAACGACATGGCCATCGAAACGTCGTGATTTAATTCATTTGATTTCATACCTACGTGAATTTACTGATATAACCAAAGATTATGGATCCCTGTAGTCACGAAAACTTCAAATCTAGATTTACATTGTTATATATGTCTATTCTAATTGACCCCTTGCACATAATGTCCTAAGCATTTCAAATGACATCGATAGAGATCCTGCACGTCCACTGTGACGGAATGGGTGTGGATCTGTGTGGTCAATGCAGCAGCAATAATAGCCAAGGCGGGAAGCAAGATCTGAACTGTAATGATGAAGAATGAGTGCACGACAATTTGGTCGCTTCAACACATCCACGATTTCAAAAAAGTGTCCGTCAGTGATTTGTGGTCGAGAGAGCCACCTCCCTTGACGTCGAAGACATCTCAGAGTGCATTGCATGCGATGAGCCTCTCGCATCTCTCTTCTCATCGCGTTTTAAATTGGACACCCCTCTCAGTGGTAGCTGTCGCTGTACATTACAAAGCGACAAGGCACCTGGCCTGGAAACAGGCGATAGAGAGCGAGAATCTCACGATGGATGGAGGGTTACATGGTGAAGATATGCCCACTTAGTTATGTGGTCTAACCCAGAAACCAGTTATGAAAATAAATCTGTCCAGAGTATAGCGGAATGTACACGTGGGGTTTGCAGTGTCTGTGAATTTTGAGAGCGCGACAGGGCTTGAGCACCTGTGCGTCACAGCAACATTGACCTGGGTTTGATTTCCACGTTTGGCCACATGCTCCGTGTGGATTATGCAGCCAGCTGTTCTGGGAAGGTTCTGCAGCTTTCTCCCTGTTACTGAACCCACACAAGTAATGCAAACCGTTCGATTTGGATCGCAAACAGTAGCAACTTTCTTGCAAAATGCGAGCAAACTTGGCAGGATCCTCCTGAAAAAAAGTCTTGAGACCAAGTAAGGCTGATGCTGCGTGAGAAGCATGGCAATAAATAACAAAAATAAGTATAACCCGTAAAAACAAAGTTTTTCACTATCAATCCTTTATATGCGTGGCGGCTAGTGTCCTCTCGTCCTCTGGCTTGAGATGGCTGCCACCTATGGGTCAGATGATTGTCTGCCAGTATTAACCAATTGGTAATTAAATATTTAATTTGTTTTCCCTAAGCAGTCTAAAATTTTGGAAAAAAATTTTCACGAACATTAATTGTCTCGCACAACGAGTCTGTGTGCAAAATGTCAGCTCGATTGGATCATGGGAAGTGGGTTAAAAAACGACCGAAATATTTGCACGGTCGTAAGCAAGCAAGCACGCAAGCACGCAAGCAAGCGAACTTAATATAAAGGATTTAATAAACACACAGGGCGCACACGCAGAGTGGTTTACCGTGGCTCAGCGACTCCGGAGTTTGCTTTATCTTCTTGGAAGCCCTCTTCTCCAAAGCTCGGTGCAATTGGTCCCCACACAGGATTGGAGGACATGGTGGCGGTGGCGGCGGTGGTGGCGGTGGTGCTGCTGGTGGTATCGGTCTGGAGCCATTGTCGCTCGATCTTGGCGAGGCGCTGCTCCTCCTTGAGGTACTTTTGCTCCACAAGACGCTTCTCCTCCATCAAGTGCTCCTCCTCCTCTTGACGCTTCACCTCAACGAGGCGCTTCTCCTGCATGAGACGTTTCTCCTCGAGGAGCTTCACCTTGCGAAAGCGCCTCTCCTCAAGACGCTTCTTCTTCTTCTCGAGACGCTTCAGCTCTATGAGACGCTTCACCTCAAAGAGGCGATTCTCCTCCATGAGGCGCTTCTCTTCCTCGACCCGCTGCACCTCAATGAGGCGCTGCTCCTCGACAAGGCGCTTCTCTTCTTCCACCCGCTTCTCTTCCATGAGGCGCTTCTCTTCCTTGACCCGCTTCACATCTATGAGGCGCTTCTCTTCCTCCAGATGCTTCTCCTTGAGACGCTTCACCTCGCGAAGGCGCTTTTCCTCTATGAAGCGCGTTTCTTCAAGGAGGCGCTTTTCCATGACGCGTTTTACGTCGTTGAGGATTTTGTTTCGAAGGCACTTCTGCTCCGTTTGGTGCTTCACCTTGGCGAGGCGCTTCACCTCGTTGGGGCGCTTCTCTTCCATTGTGCATTTCTCCTTCGCAAGGCGCTTGTCCTCCTGGAGACGCTTCACTCCGCTGAAATTCTTCACCTCCCCAATGCTCCTCTGTTCACGCGAAGATGAGCACATGACCATTGAGACGTGCACTCAGGACAAAATCTATTCTCGTAGGCACACAAACATGGACGGGCACATAGACAAACAAAAATGCATACTGGCACATCTATGTACGGATGCAAACATGCACATTAACTCATGGCATGACGTGATGATGGAGG